ATCCGATAGTGTTCTATAATACACTTTGTACTTCTGTTTTCCTAAAATTTTCTTATTATAGCGTCTGCATGTTTCAAATTGACCGATTATATCGTATTGAAAGCGAAAGGGTTTTCGAACGGGTACATACCTCTGTTCCTAGTTCACTAAAACCTTTACTTTGACACAAACAATATTTCTTACTTATCTTTACGTTGCTCCACCAATAGATTCATTTTTACTTCATTGGATTCGCCGGTATGTCACAAAAATTTTGAATATTGTAAAAAATAACAAATACAACTTCGTTTAGATGAATTGAATGTAGCTCAAAATTAGCATTCTTACCATAAACGTCTTAAACGTTTCAGAGTTAACATCATCACCGTAAACGTCCCTGTAATTTATTTCCCCATCTCTCAAAGAATGATGTTGTAAGTTCAGATAAATATATTTACGACACACAAGGACAATTTTTATTCGTACGCGAGCCACGAGTCTCCGCGCTTTCAGTGAGGCGCGCGCGCTTCCCCTGCAAAGAGCCCATGCGCGGCGCCTCTCGTGACCAGGATCCCTCCTTAATTCATAGCCCCGCCGCCGTCCGCCGTCGCGTCCACTTAATAATTCACGCTGCTTAGCGCCTGCTGATGACTTATCGAACGCACCCTCTCCCCCCCCTCCCGCCCTCCCGCTTGCTTGCTTTGCTTGTCTGCCTGCCGACGGCGCCACAAAGCCACCAGGTCGCGCGGGCTGCGGTCCGAAGTCCGCGCACTTATCGCCCGCTGCCGCCTGGATTTATACTGTTTCCATTACCGAGCGTTCGGTAATAAATAGAATTACTCTGTCGGGGACGGAGCGACGGACCTGCCGCGAGAATTCTTGATTAATAATACGGTAGATTGCGATGGACGTACACTTTCCGGGCGCGACAGGCGACTGGGCTTTTGTTAGTTGAAGCAATCGTAGCGCTGTTTGTTCATGCTTATTCACGGTGGCCCAAAAAAGATTTAGAGAAAATACTCCATCGTTTGAAGGTACTTGATAGAGTGGAATTTGTATTGATTCTTACAAAGGGTTGTAAAAAAGTTTTGAGAAATTCAAAATGATCATGAAGGGAGTAATATGTGTGAAAGCACTGGTTTCTTTCTCTACTTCTTATTTACATGTTCCTGAAGGGCACGCATATGGACAAATTTTGTAACCAGAATCGTATGGTGAAAAGATACGTTTATTAAAATGATATAGAAACGTAGTGTAATAAGACCAAAATACATTTGAAACTTGCGTTAAAACAAACTAGAAATTATATGATTATTTTTCGAAGCACTCTGAGCCATGTCCACCTGGTAGGAACTTACGACTTATATCTGAACTGATTCTTTTTTTACTTGCAAATTTAAATGATGGAGTTCTTTTTGACGGGTAGATTATGTCACCAAATCGTGGAAAAATACTGCGTAATATGATTAATTTGGAATACCAAATATCGTCATCTGACCATCTACTCATTATACCTTTATGCATTTGTTAGACCAAGGTAATATACAGTTCTGACGAGTAATAATTAAACTACTCAGAAATATACGAAGAAACACATTATATGGTAGGTTCTCAATCTGTGGTATTCATATCTTCAGAGGTTTGCCGAAAGCTTGTGCGTTTAGGTGAACATTTAGGGAAAGATTTTAAGAAGAAATTAAGAAATGAAATGTAAAGAACGAGAATACTTTTGACTATTAATATCCCTGTAAAGTGAAACTCAGTGTATGCCGAAATAATGCCACAGAACCCCGCAATTGAGGCCGAGTGTCAGCTTTAACTTTCAACTCAAGCACCAGAGATCAGAAATCGCCCATGCAGTCGCAGCCATCTCATCGAAAAGTTTGGTGATTCATATTACTTGAACTCCACTTATGACACATTTACTGTGTAGGGTACTTTAATTATACTTCATTACGATTATTGTCACTGAGTCAACAACTGGATGTTTTGTAAACATTCACACGAAATGAAAAAGCTGTGTATTTGTATTATGAATGGACACAAAAAATTTTGTTTTCTTTGTTCTGATGGGGTACAAATGTGAATTTTTCCACGTTCTCATAGTAATTTATTAAGTTAATTCGAAAAAATTCAAATACGTAATAGAAAACACTTAATCATTAGCACAGATAACCGTATTAAATTCCGTCAGATTCCGCCATGCTTTATTATGATAGTATGTATAATCATACATTAATATGATTATGTGAAGTGTGTGAAGTGAATGTGAAGGTATATATAATCATATATGTCATATATGAGAGATGCAATCTTAAAACTGAGGTTCTCAAATATTTTAATGTGAAGTATTCAGATTTCATTGTCTTGCATCCGTTAGCATGATCTATTTATCAAGTAGTATCTTGAAAATAATTTCTTTTAATATAAACAACCGATAGTATTCATAAACTATGGTAATTTTGGCCAGCATTAATCTATCTCGAGTGCGTAACAAGAAGTAAATTTTAATACAAGAATTTCGGTTATAAACAAATTCAAATCTTTGGATTTTAATGAATGAAGGCGTAATAACAAATTAGATACAATTATATTGTATGAAATGTACATGGTAAATTACAAATCTCACCTATCAATGTGGCCATTGTATTGTTTTTCAATTCAATTCATCAGTAAAACTTCGCCTTTCAACAAAATTTTACATATAATTAAAATGCAAGCCCCACTTTAGTTTTGTACCGAGTTGGCACACATCTCGTACATCTTCGTGCTAAACCCTGACAATCACAAATCCGTGGTTTCTGCTCGTGTCGTCGCTTCGTCCTTTCCGCTCACGTCGCCCCTCTGCGAGGCCGTTCCCGTCCGCTTCCCAATTACCTGCTCGCCCATGCGCGCCCCGTCATCTGGCGCTCGCCCACGCACCGCGCGCGAGCGCGTCCGCACGCCCGCCGCCCCACGGCGTCGCGTCGGACCCAGCGGGGCGGCTCGCGAATTTGATTCAGTGGCCTCGCCGTGCCACCGCAGTGGGCCAATCGCCTGCTGATGGCCCTCCCAGCGCCCGTTACAAAGCGCGCCCGCTCGCCGCGACGACAGCGCTCCCCGAGGCGGAATAGTAAGCACCGTCTGCGCTCTTCGCCTGCGGCGGCACCTCGCGGCTAGTCCGGCGCATGGCGCCTCAGATTCGCCCACTCCAAGATATTCAATGTTAGTGGCGTTATGTTGAATATATTTAAATGTTTGAAATCTGACTGTAACACTTATTATAGTTTTCAATATTTTTGAGTGGCTAAAAAGTTCTAAAAAGTAATAGAATTTTTAATAAATATTTATGTGTAAATGATAAGTTTCATTTCTCAGTTTTCACAAATTAAGGAGTTGTGTCTTTCATTATGCTGCAATTTTTTTTTTTTAAGAAATCATTTATCAAGGAATGATATAGTTAAATGTATAATATATTCAGAACTGTAAACATTATTTAAAACAATAATCGTGGAAATTTTATTTTTTTATTGTTGTGCCGTAATTATTTCTAGACATGCAATATATGATACTAATCTGGGACAGATCCAGGAACGAATTTCGGGAAAAGAATTTGAAAATGTTTTTTATCGAATATGTCAAGTTGCAGATTTTGTAAAATGTCGCAGGCTACATTCAGCTCATTCTGCGATACGGCTTTATTCGTTTTACTTTTGCTGGAATGTTTCGTGACAAATTAATATTAATAGTTACTGAAAAATTTTAAGAGGGGATATTTCCCTCATTTTCCCCTTGGAACACACGATTATTTAAATAATTAATTTCATTCTGCATTATTTCTGAGGGTGTTTTTCTTTTTGAAAAATCTTAATCTTATGTTCTGTTTACAAATGATTCATCGTTTTATATTATCTTATCATATTATCATATTATCTTTTTTTTCCCAAGTGCGTGATAAATATATTTTTTATTGTTGTTGCCTACCGCAGTTTCCTTTCTAAGTTGACTCGATTACACATTGATTTGTGATGTTTCAGCAGGAGAAAAAAACCTATGGGGCAATACCCGGCAATTCGAAAGGTGGGTCAACGTCTGCATTTATCCCGAAAACGTATGGCTATATTACTGAGCGAGTTGACAAAGAGAGTGAATGGGTGCGGAAGTAGAGCAATCCTCGGCCGTGGCCCACCCTGCCCGCCCCGCCCCGAGCCCGGCGGAAGGACCAGACATTTATTCGGCACTAAGTGCGGGGGCGGCGGAGGGCGCTTCGCCGAAAATCGGCCGCCGAGGCCGCGGGTGGACTTGAGCGATCGGCGGGCGGCCGGCGATGTCCGGCAGATGCGGCAGCGCCGCGGCGACGGCGGCGGCCGGCGGGGGGCGGCGGGTGTGGCGCAGCGGCGGATACGTATATATGATACTGTTATGTTTATGCCAGCCGTTCTATACGTCCCATCTCACACTCACTGTGTGTGCGCACGTGGACCTCCACGTGGTGGCCTTCCCGACCAGGGCCCCGAGATAGATGGCTGCCCATTGATGGAGTACCTTGCCTTTCTATCTTTCATCCGTGGGCATTAGTGGTTTTAAATAATAATTCCGAATACGCGCCGTGGATGACGGCTGCCCGAAGGCTTTTGTGCGATTTCCAGAAATTTCTCTGCCGCTCTTCCCCTTTGCTGTCGCCCGGCATGCGGGCATCGGAAGGATATTAATAGCTGGGTTTTCACTCAGGTTGTGTTACTCGGAATAAACGAGATTGTTAAAAGAAAGCTGTACAGAATCTTTCTCTTGTGAGACTCAAATTATTTATTTTTATTTATAATAAGAAGCCATGTACATTACAAAATTTACAACTTAAAATATGAAAAACACAAACAGGAAATAAACATAACGGCTGACCGTTGTGTGCGGCAGCCAATGTGAAGACTGAAACAATAAATTGTCGAGGGTGAGGTGTGTGGTGACTGAGCGTCAAAGCTTGCAGTCACACCCCTGCGAGACGCGAGGATACGTAGAGGGTAGAAATGAGCAGCACATCCCTAGGAAATAATGAATGAGGTCACTATTTGCGAGGAATACATAGCTGATTGTGAAGGATGTATGGAGAATCGCGTGAAAAACTGTTCATTTGCGGAGTTACAAGCGCCTAAACCTATTGAAAACAAGTGAAAAAATCAAAGAGAATCGTGAAATTAAATAAAAATTATTTAATTTTCAATAAATATCACCAAATGAAAGAAATCACGAACTCTTGTCTAAGAAGCTTTGATGTCAGAATTGTTTTCACCATTGTGCTATAATTCACTCTATTTTTTTATTTTACTTGACAGTGGTATTGCTTCCACTTAGGAACTTCGCAGCCTGCGTGATATATGAAGCCCGTTTCAAAACCTATGTGAGAAACTAAGATTTTGCAGACGCGTGCATAAGTGTATTTTAGGAAACCATAATCTCAAATCCGGGCACGCTTATAGGAAAACGAGGCACAGTCAGCGAACGCTGCCTAGTATTTTTCAGAGCGTAAGATTTCTTTTCGTATTATTCAGTACAGATCATACCTCTGAAGAAACGAACCCGGAATTCAAAGACTGGGCGACAGGGCCGCATTTTTACAGTGTTCGCTTGCGGGAACAGAGAGGCAGCGTGGGACGGCGCCGAGCTTGTTTCCTTCACCATGTTACACACCACAACCCTGACGGTAGGTAATACGAAGCAGAGAGAACTTCTTCGAATTGTTTTTCGTTGTTTCGTACACTCACAACCTCCTTTTACACAACGAAGTCACTCACTGATGCCTCGACATCGATTGACAAGGAACTTCTATAAAGGGTCTCGAGTCCATCAGGTCGCGACTGACTTTCCATGTGGTTATATCATTGTTTAGGGGCACAAGTTTAACTTCAATCATGTTTTGAAGTTGACGTACCAATGAAATACTTTGTCACTTATTCGAGTTTCATCGAGGGACAGTCGTGCATAGTCCGGCAGAACCGTCCCCGTGTAACAGAGTTCACTCGATTGTAAGGGAATCGCAAGCGCAATGTAAGATCAAGGTGAAGCCTTCTAGAGCTATTTTCTGCGACGCGTTTCTCAGGTATCCAAAAAACAAAGTTCTCCGGGAGCCACCCTTGAAGCCTTCTCTGCCCGGAGGGTTGCGCGTTTCCGGCCGGCACTCGCTGTGCCGCGGCGAAAACTCAGTCTCGAGGAGTAGCGAGCCGCACGGCGCCGCGGGGCTACCTCCCCCATGGGCCTCGTTCGACGCCCGGCGGGGGCAGCGGGGTGGGCGCGGCGCCGCGGGCGCCCTAGGTGGCCAGGTGCGCGAACTGCGGGTACGGGTACTGCTGGTGCACGGGGCTGTAGTCGTACGGGGACAGCTGCGGCCCGCCCAGCGGGTACGGAACGACGCTCATACTGGCCATCTTGTGCTCCTTCTTCCACTTCATGCGCCGGTTCTGGAACCAGATCTTGATCTGGCGCTCGGTGAGGCAGAGCGCGTGCGCGATCTCGATGCGCCGCCGCCGCGTCAGGTAGCGGTTGAAGTGGAACTCCTTCTCCAGCTCCAGCGTCTGGTAGCGGGTGTACGAGGTGCGCTGCCGCTTCGTCTCGCCGTTGGCGTTGACCGTGCCTGCCAACAGAAAAGGATGCGTTAGTCAGAATGCTTGCTTTAGAAGAAGAATCACAATAAAAGTCACAAAAGATAGAAATACAAATTCTTAATAAAATTCTCCGAAATTTAACAGTGGAGATTGTTTCAGAAGTTCCAGAATTTTGCAGAATATACAATAAAAGTCGCATAATGAAAATAAAATTGTATACATTAATATAAATAGGTGTTATTTAAAATCTTACATTTTCTGACATTTAGGTTATCTTTACTACAATTGTTTGTAGTTTCCAACATACGTTTTGTCAACTTTTACATGAAATGTGTATATAATGAAGCTTTATATATTTAAAAAAAAATATAATTAGTATACTATGTTTTCCCTAATTCTTGAGGTCTACTTTGGAATAATAAGATTAAATTGTCTTTCGTATTTTCTAAAGATATACTTTTTATTTAAACCTCTATAAATTCGCAGTCTAATACAGGACGCCATTCATTTATTTTGTGGCATCGAGGAATACTTTGTGAATAATTTCGTTCAGCCATCTCTTTCAAGTTATGCATTTGGCGGGCGTTTACGCTCGGGGCTTCCGCCATGGCGGCGGCCACGCCCGGGTCCTGCGCGGCGGCAGCGACGCGTGTCTGTCGGCGCGGCCACGTGACCGCCCACGTGCGGGGCGCCTCCCGCGAGCGTCGCGGCGCGCGCTCGCCCCGCCCGATCCGCGCCCCCGCCCCGCCCCTGCCCCCGCTCCCACCCCCGCCGCGCAAGCGAGCTCGGCGCTTGGCAGCTTTGCGACCCCGCGCGCCCCGCCGCACGCGCCGCGCCGATTCCAGTCGGCTTTGCCCGGCCCCCTGCGGCTTTCCACGGCCACCCACGCCGCCCCCCCTCCGCCGTCCGACAGACACCGCCAGGGCAGGCTGCGATTTGCATGTTCTATCTCCGGGGACCGAGAATGAAGAATGTAAATTCGTTTTGGCACGACACAATTTTCATTCGATTTCGTATTATGATGGACGTTCGTCAGGATTCGATTGAGTTGCTTGATTGCGTGTAAACTAAAAAATAAGGCGGTCTTTAAGAAATTTTTAAGATAAACAATATTCTGAGTGTTAACGAATCATTAAAAGAAAAAATTGTGTATATTATGACAGAAAAAATTCAGACATCTACGTGATTCATTAACAAAGACTATTGATTTAATTTCACTGAGTTGAATAGAGTTTAACTAAAATGTTCCAATAGAGCGGTGTAATCTAAAAAAAATGTATATCACTTTGTTCTGTCCGAAATGTCTATATTGGCCCATGTCCACTGGAACCAACAATAAGCTACTTTAAAATGCTTTCAAGGTTTTCATTATTTGCGCCCCGGCAGTATTTACCGAAGGACAATTTCTCATCTACCATTTCTATGTCTAACGATGAGAAGATGACAGATTTTGAAAACAGGTATTAATAAAGAAATAATGTCAAGTAAACGGATTCGGTAAAAAAATGTGTAACAGAAGTCTTACGATGCTAAATTTCGTCCCTCTTCAAGTGGTTTCCTCTGCCGTCCTGCTATTTTAAAATTATGCTTCCCAAAGAGTGAATCTGCCGTGTGCTCGGGAACTGGAACGAGGAGGCCCTAGTTGCCGCGCAATCCAGCGCACAGCGATAAAGGCGTCCCTCCCGCTTACTCCGCCGGTCCCAAAAACGCCTGTCCGCAGCTTCGCTGTCGCCACCCTGTCCGCTATACACGCGTTATTTTTTAACTATTCCTATCCCGGGCCGTCCCTTATTATTTTTACATCCGTGCTATCATCCCCCCTTCTTCTCTCTGCGTAAAAATATCGCTAAAAAACCATTCCGGTGTATGCTTTTTAAAAATGGCCAGACGTTGGCGGCCCGCGCGGGAGTTTCCTCTTTTTGGCCGCGGGCCCTCCGCCCGTCTCCGCCGCGCGAGGGGGCGTCGGCGGCATTCTATCTCTCAGCGCGCGGCGGCGGCGGCGGCTGGCAGCGACGAGGATCATAATTAATGTCAGTCGCCGAGACTGATGGATGGCCCGCGCGTACGCAGAGCGGCCGGCGGAGTCTACACGCCGCCCGCCGCCCGGCCCGGGCGCCGGCGCGCCAGGGTCGCGGTGCGCGGGCCCGCGGCAGCGGCGGCCACGGTGACAAGCTGTTGTGGCGGCGCCTCGGCTGCCGTGGCGATTAGCGACGGTTTCATTGGAGACGGCGGATTGGTCGTTGACAAAGGCGGCTGCGCGACCGAGTGCAAAATTTGATAACAGACGGATAGGGAAAGGGATGTTTGTAGCAGTTTCTGCTCCTAGACAAGGCGAGGGCTACATGGGCGTGCCCTGGCGTTGCGCTTCGGTGGCCCGATGTTTCCAGCGACAGCCCCATGGGAGGGAAAGCTCTCCGGCGCGATCGGCTGTAGTGCAGTGACAGGCAAAGGCGGGCGCGGACCACTGCGTCAGTCAGCCAGGGATAGTTTCGCCACAATTCGTATATTAGAACAGCCGTGTTGTAGACAGCAGTGAAGAGAGAGAGAGACGGGTGCCGCAAGCAATATAATACTGGTGGAAGTGCTACAAAAAAAGTCGAGTGCTATCTTAACGGAGAGGCACTGACTGCGGACACAAGACAATAAACGGTAGAAGTTAGTGGCGGGCGGCTGGCAGTGATAGGTCATGGGCGGCGGAGTGTGGTGTGGGAGCTGATCCAGTACTGCGAGGGGTGCTAGTGGCGGGCCGGCGCGTGCACCCCCGAGCGCCGCCCTCTTGGGGTTGAAATAGATGTCGCAGCCGCCATAAATCGCCCTCGCGGCTGGCCCGCCGCCCATTCTTCCCCGCGAACGGCCAGGGCGGCGGCGCGGCGGTGGGGAGCCCACGCTGAATGCGATCGCCCGCTCAAACCCCTGACCTAGGCCCGGTCGCTCTCGCGCTCCAAGGAGGTTGCAGAGCATCGCACTTCGCGTTTGCTGCCTAGGATATCGTTTGTTTTTTGTTAGCGTGTTAGGTATATTTGCTATGAAGACGTTTTCAAAGTAAAAAATAAAACCTACATAGTATTTCTATAAAGTGCTCTGGTTCAATTAAATTCCATTGAAAATATTTACATATACGTACGCGTAGTTAATGTAATTCTTTCTGAATTTCCTTAGTCGATGGGTGAAAGAGCAGTAAAATGAATGAAGGCAAAGCACCTTAGTCCATAATTTGTACAAAAACGAACAAACTCTGAGTCAATGCCGAGCATCAGAGACTACGTGACAGAAACTATGATAGAAATATTTTTTTTGAAGAAGAGTGATGAAAGGTTTCTCTTAAAGCACCCATAAATTGTTGTGGAAGGAATTGTTAAGGATTGTGAGACTTACGGCAAAAACCATTGGATGAAAGGAAGAGAAAATTGGAATATTCACAAACAAATCATTTTCTTTTGTTTATTCGCCATAATATCGCTGAAAAGTGATCGCATTTACGACGCAAGGTCCAAGGCAAGCGTGCTCAGTACCGAATCACCAATCATTATATTTTTAATTAATTTATTTATTTTTAACAATGTGTTAATTCTTCCGTAAGATTCAGAATGTTTGCAAGAACGCGAAGACAGCGAAGACTGAACGAAGAGGATATAACTGACACAGAAGAGGTAAAGAGTGTAGTGGAAACGTTAGAAATATACGGGTGTTGGGCTGTAGAGAATTTACGTTGTATGAAATATTTGAAAACTAGTAGAAATGAAATCACCTTCCTTATCAAACTCAACTCTTACTTCATTAGAGGCAAGTACTTTATATCTATATCTATTTCTATCTATCTGTCATATATATACGGAGAGAGAGAGAGAGAGAACGCCTAAATTGTCGCTGTGAGTCTAATACCTCCACTAAACACAGAACTTAAATTGTTAAAATTGTATTTTTTTCTTTGTCGCTCTTATTGAAATTTAATAGTAATTTGGATACATTGGATAAATTGAATACGTTGAAACTTAATAGACATAACGGAAGGCAAACAGAATTTGCTTGGAAGAGGACTCGGAGGCGAAGTCTGCGAACGGACAGGGGGCCAGACGCGCGTTTCTGTCGCCCGCTGGCTGCTAATTAGCCAGGGGCCGGGGCGGATCCTTTCGTACTGCTGGCGTCAAAGCCTGCGCGCGGTTTTTCTGGGAGCCTTTAAATATGTCGACACGCGCAGCGCCCTCGTTTATCCAAGTTCGCAAGATGGAGGATGATTTTTGTATTCGTGGCGCAGTGGCTCTGCTGAGTTCCAAATCTCTGATAAATGTTGAAGAGAGTTATTTGGGGAATACATTAATGTTTTTTTGTAAAAATATGTTTCATAACCGTCACTTAGTTATTTTAGAATTTCAATACTATTCATATGAAAAACGGCAGTAAATAGCGTCGAACAGTCATGTATTCTGTTTCTGAATGGCAGTGCGTTTTGAACTTCCCGAAACAGCTGAAAGCGTGAAAAAGTTTTTGGTGATAGAGCCGTTAAATATTTAAAAACTTTTTGTCGATAATATATCTACCATATAAGAATTTATAGTACACACACATTAGATATATAATTTATAATATTCTTTAAAGAAAAATTAAAACGGGAACACATCAGTTTAGTAGTATATAGGCCGCTGTAATGTAACAAATCAAATATGTCTTCATGAGCAGTTTATAATATTTCATGCTACATTCTCTTGAGACCTGTTAATCACTAATTATTCTATTTTTGTAGTAATTTCTTGTATCACGAACATGAATTATTCCTGCATTATCAGAGATATGAACATGAGCTCAATATCAGAGATATTATCCTGAAACGATTTTTCTGTAAAAAGATCATACACGTGTAAGAGATAAAAATTGTCCGGCCACCTAATTATACTTGTGTGCTCATAACACTAAAAAAAGGTAATCACAGGCAATAACGAAGATGTCACATTCACTTACAAAGGCAAGCACTCACCTCTGAATCAGCCTATCGCCCCGAGCAACGCGCACTATACGGTGTCAGGCGACAGTAGTTAACCCTGAGCACCCGCTGGGGAGTAAGTCATCATAGCGATAGCGCCACCTCTGCGCGCCGGCGAAAAAACTCTGCGCTGGCCTTGAGCATCGAGATAAGCCCCGACTGTACCGTGTGCTTCGCCCCCCACTTTCTACGGCCTCACGAACTGAGGCGCTCGGATCGATTTCGACTCAAGAAAATATCAGAAAGAGCAGCGGTTTGCGGACAAATAAACTGAACCAAGTCGGTAAGCACATTAGGCGGCCTTCATGACGTGGGGGGGGGGCGGGGGAGGGAAATCAGTCGATCGAAATGGTGACTGCTCGGCAGCGCGGCTAATAACAGCCGGCTCTCATCGTTGTCGAGTAATACGGGGAATTGAAATGTCCGTGGAAAGAAAATGAGGTTCTGTTCACCACAATTGATAAGATTGAAATTAATTTTATTAATTCACATTCTCTTCTATAGAATCCGTAGAGTGAAAGAAGCTCAGCTCAGTGAAGCGAAAGATTACAGCTCCTCCATCGTTATATCACGCTTCGAACGAGTGTGGATTGTGATAAATTTGTTACTGCTAATAAACATAACTCTCACTGAAGTCATAAAAAGGTTTTGAAACAGGTATGTTTAGAACTTAAAAGAATTAATACAAAAGATCGTATTAAAATTATACTAGCAGAAGAGAGAAAATTACATAAAAAGTAAACTAGCAGTAAAAACAATTAATGGATTTATTCGATGCATTGTGGTAATGAACTCAACCTATATAGAAATTTACTGAAAAGTAAACTTTTTCTTCGATATTATTTTGTCAAATACGAGCTACTGCTAACAACAAACTGACGAAAAAGTGCACTGAATAGATCTTCACTTTTCGCATCCCCATATTCTAGAAACGCTCTTCCCCAGACCTGCATTCATTAACCCTTCGTTTTGGAACTTAAAAGAGGCTTAAACGAGTGCCATAACCTGAGCTGGTGGGCCGCCTCGCGGTGCATTCCAGGGTATCGCTCGCCCGGCGTCGCGCTCCTGCCGGAGGGGCGGTGTGGCCGAGCGCGGGGGCGGGGCGGGCGCCCTTCGCCGCGATAGCGCGCGCTATTGTGCCTGCGCGGGAAGGCGCGAGGGGCGGATAGCGCGCCGCCTGTCATCCGTCATCGAGGCCCGAACTCGCGCCCCGACACCCCCGCGCCCTCGCCTGCTATCGCGCCCGCGTATCGCGAAGGGCGCGCTGCTACGGTGGGTGGCGGGTTGCTGGCGGCGGCTAACGGGTATTGGGTGGCGGGGAGTGGGTTCCTGGCGGAGGGTGGCGACCGGTGTGTGGGATGAGGCAAGCGGCGAGTGACGGGCTGTGGGTGGCAGGCGGTGGATGGCGGGCGGTGGGTGGTGAGCAGTGGATGGCGGGCGGCGGGCAGTTGATGACGGGAAGTGGGTGGCGGGAGGTCGGTGGCTGGCGGCGGATGGCGGGCAGTGGGTGGCGTGATGCGGTTCACAGAAGGTGGTGGCAGATGGTGAAAAGTGGTTGGAGAGGTGTGGGTGGCAGTGGTGTGCACTGAGCGCGCGACGGTGGTTAGCGAATGTGGACGGCAAGTTGCGGGTGGCACGTGAGGAGGTGGCGGGTTGGGGAGAGTAATCTGAGGAAAGTATCGGGTGGATATAGAAGAGTGCGTTAATTTGTGGGAATGGTGACGAATGACAAAGCGACAATAAGATGGTGTTTATTGTACGATTCGCACACGTGACGATTTGGTGGTAAAGAGAATTCCAAAAGATTGGCTACTACCGTAAGAATAGTGAAGAGTATTTGAAGATGGTTGAGCTGACATTAAAATATGTTAAATGAACGGCTTGTGACAAGAAGAAAGCCAGTTTTGTTGTAACTGTGGTGGACGTAGTTGATATGAGGTGGGCTGGCTATCAAGAGACGACGTGTGGAGGAAGCAGTCGCAGAGATGGTGTCGCCTGTGTCTGTAGTTTGTGACAGGTGACAGAAGTAGATAGTTTTCGAGGTCGTTGGTGGGCGGACAGCCTGTTGGACTTATCGTGATGGGGTGTTGTTTGTAAAACAGTAGGAGTAGGTCATTGTTTCAAAGTTACAGTAAGTATTCATGTCAGAAATGTTGCGACTGTATCAAAACTCCAACCCAAGACACAACCTACCAGAAGTTTATGTGCTGTAAACTTCCCAAACTGTTATTGAACGTAAACTCAGCGATGCTAATGAGAAAGTCTTGTAACAGAGTATCGTGAAGATCTTACTTTTAACATAAACTTTTTGTTTGTTTTTCAAAAGACCAAATATTCAAAAGCAAAATACGAAAGAAGATAAAGGAAATAATCATTTTTATAATATTTTTTCTATGGCGGTTTCATATAATTCTGGAGTGAGTATATATTTAGTATTCAGAGAACAAAGTGAACTTGATACATTTACTCTAAAATTCCACAAAAGAATGGTAAACGAATTTCTAATATTTTGCTCTATAGAACTCTTATATTATGATAAAATAAGTCTTGGTTGTTCCCGTCGTATTATGTAAATAAAAACGTGTTAGCAATTCGAACTATTATGGAAAGTGCTTGCAAATGTATGCTGGTTTTTAAATTATGCGTGGGCATATGCGTGCTTAAAAATATTAAAATCATCCCAGTCTCGTAAAATGTAGAACTTGACGTGTGAACTCAAGCAGCGACACTATTTTTAGCGCCGCTGACTTTTCCCGGAGGCAGTTCGTGTCCGACCGTAACGTGCCGCGGGAGGAATATCTCCTCCCCGCATCGTTGTCTGCCTGGCGAGTGCGTGCGTACACGAGGCAACCCACAAACGCCTGGCGCGGCGCGGCGGTTGAACATTGAAAAAATTATTTCCAAAATGACGACTATCCAAATTTGTTTTCTAGTCATGCGTATCAATGTATTCTGAAAATGCCTCTCAATAATTTTACCAAATATCATCTATAAAAATTGCTTTTCTTCTTCTTTATACAGGATCTGGAAATCGTTGAATCCTATCTTGAACTTCAAGGCTAAATGTGAATAGTTTCTCTTTCTGAAAAATTGCGTTTCGTGGAGATACGTCCCCGGAAAGGACACGCGCGACGCTGCGCCGCGCTACACGTCGGCCGCCATCGAGCGGTTTCGGCATCGTGACGAAAGAGCGGAAAGAGGGAAATGCTCAAATAATCGGCCCAGGCCCGCCCAGCGCAGCGCTCGTTTGTCTACTGCGACTCACGACACGACGTGGTGGCTACCACTACTTGTGTAGTCGACGTACCGAGCGCTTTTAGACACATAATCACCACAAGTCCAGCACAATTAGTTATTTCCGTGTAGCTTCATTAAAAAATGATGGATAGAGGCTTAAATCCATGTTTTTCTCATCAACATAAAATATTGTAAATACTATTACATACCGAGGAAACAAATGTTATTTTTCTAGAATTACACGAAACGTAGTAGAGTTTTTATTTCATCCGGAAGGTGGGTTTTATTATTTTGATATTTTAAAAAACTTTAAAAACATTAAATTGAAGTATATAGAGTTATTTATATGTCATTTATGACAGTAATCAGCTACTGATCTCTTACAAGTGGAGAAGCGTTCACAGAAAAATTATTTTTCCGCGAAACAATCTGGGAGTTTTCAGAATACATTATTTTCTGTAACTGCATAAGTAAAAAAGGTTCAATTAAAAATGTTATTATTTAAAATTTTAATTTTGTTTACTAGATATACTTTTAATAATCTGCATCCAAAAACTTAAATTCTGTAATGAAACTCAATCAAATGAAAATGATTTCGTATTTAGTAACCTATGATATAGTACGTGATGTCATTATTAATAAAATGGATATCGAATTTAAAAAAAGAATTAAAACACAGAAACAAAGCATTTAAAAAGACATAAAAAGTAAAGAAGACTAGAACAACCGTATAATTACTGCCGCAAATCGACCAGCGTGGGTACCAACATACCCTTCAGCTGTAAGCACTATTTCCTCTTCGAGCGAGCAGCTACCGACCTCCACCAACCCTCGCCATTCCCACAATCACCTGCTCGGCTGCCACCCCAAACACTTGCTAGGCGCTCGTTTGTGCTGTGTTTACGGTAATAGGTACGCGTTGCGAACGCGCCGCCGCCGTGCGGGGCGCTCGCGTTGTGAAACCGCACAGGTAATGGGCGCGGCGCGGGGCGGCGTCGCGACGGAGGGGACGTCGGGGCGCATCGCGATGGTGGCGAAACGCGACGCGGGGGAATTACGGGACGCTTCCTCGCGACTTCCGCGGCTGGCATCGACCCTGCGCCGCCCTGGAAGACGTCGCGGCGGCGGCGGCGGCGGCGGCGGAGGTAGGTGCCCTCTCGCTGCTCACACGAACCCTTTGCTGCCCCGTCGCAGTTAAGCAAGACCAAACATTATGGCGGTGTTTTTATTTTCTCTTCAATGCCGTGGAGACGGCTTCCGAGTGTGTGTGTGTGTGTGTGTGTGTGTGTGTGTGTGTGTGTGTGTGTGCGTGCGCGCGCGCGCGCGTGAGTGTGTGTGTGCGTGTGTGAAAGAGTGGATGAGGGCAAGTGATATTCTTGAGGATAAAACGAGAGGTGTGTCAGAGTTCTTGCGTAAGTCGGAGAAATGTCTTGCGGGAAGTTGTAATTGAGGCGTTAAATCTAAGGTCATACAAATTTTTTTCTATTTAATTCAAAGATACGAATCTGATGGGAGACGTAATACATAAATGGAAAGACACAGTATTTTTTTGTCAGTTTCTCAGCCTTACTCACGATGTTCTTAACGTGTGAAACGTTTTCCAGTTATGAGGCCTCTATCTTGAAAAAACTACGTATTTCAAAATATGAACTAAGCACTGGATATTGATAAGTTATTGAAATATTTGAAAGAAATTGCGGTTAAATGTATATAGTAAGATTTTGTTTTGGACGAAGCGTTTTTTAACTTCTAATTCATTGAATCAATTTTGATGATAAGATCATACAAATCCCTTTTCTCGAGACAAATATACAAAAATGGAAAGGTCTGAGAAGCGGACAGGGAATGAAATGTGAAAAGCCTGTTCAAGAAATAAATGGCCTCCCGCATCGCATAATGTTAGAAAGGGAAATACCACGTTTGCATCTCCAAAGTTTAAACGAGTATCCGTGTACTTTCTGCAAATCATTAATCCTCATCTTACAGCGACTAAGGCACTGACAATAAAGCTCTTGTGAATGCAAATATTACTCTGGTGAGCATTACAGCTCCCGCACGTTGGTCAATATTGCCTTGGAGAGGCATATTTAGGAACTGGAAGGAGATCAGAAGAGCGATGCAAAACAGAAGGAAAAAAAGGAAATTACTTTTTGAATTTATCTATAATTTATTCCTTTTTCGTTCCTTCTTTGTGTGTTCCAACCTTGTTTCATTGTAGCTGCACTTGAAAGTAATTCTGATAGCAATTGCTTCATTTTCAAAGTGAACCATACAGTTATTATATAAGAATGTTTTGTGAGTAAAATCTTGGTGTTTAATAGATTGGTTTAAATGTATCGAAAATAAAATGTTGAGTACTTTTCGGATAGAGATTACATTTTCTTTCTCAAAACGTTTCTTAAAAGAAAGGTACATACAAGTACTATACACAGTTTCGTTAATGGTTTAATTGGCTTCAAAATTCCAATCTTTCAAGAGACATATTTACCGGCCGAAATCTGACCAAGACGCGTCAACATTGCTGCGCCTATCTATCTCCAGCCCTGATGAGAGATGGCGGTCTCTTGGCGGCGGGAGTGGGGGGGGAGGGGGGGGGCTTTTCTTTAAAGAAGAGGGCGCTTGGAATGCACAATAACACGCCATTATTAAGATAGCACCCACGCAGCCAGCCCAGCCGTCCTGTCCGCCCAGCGCGAAGCAGCTCCTCCAAGCGCAGCACCCGCGCGAGTCGTCCATTGGACGGTCGGCGCAACAAAGCGGGGGGCGGGGGGCTGCCAATCAGCGGCGGGGAGAGACATCGCGGCGCGGCGCCATAGAGATATGCCAGACGGATCTACCGAAACTTGTAGTCCCCCAAATCATTACGCTGTAGAGCACCAGAAATAACAACAGCAGCGCAAAGGTTACCGCAATACCAACGCTAATCAAACTACCGGTGTCCCAAAGTCACGTGACTTGCGGCCACCGCATGTTGAAACCTGCGCAGTAGGTTCACGCGCACTCTAGTTGTGTCTCTCCTCTATGCGCGACGCGACACGCGAGTGTGGCGAGCAGAGCTGCGGACGGGGCGCCCTAAAGGCCCATGCACAATGCGAACGTAATCGTGGCGTTAACATAAAAGGTTGGACTACGTCCATAAGCGGACTCATTCACAATGCGTTCGCATAAGCATAACACGTAAGACGTTAAATTAAAAGTTTGCAAGCTTCAAGTTTCTGTGCCTATGCTTAAGTAAGACATAAGAAATAATCTAAACACAGTACGTTAACTCAAAATCGAGAATCGAAATTGGAGCAAAGTCGATAGACTAACTAGCACCACATGGGACATGGACACAGTCGATGTTGAAAGGGTAAAATAGTATTTTGTAGGACCCGCTAATTATTTTGAAAACGTACAAACTAATTTTAATACGACCCTGGGGGCAATCCAACAAAATTTGTTACTGAATTTCCAAAAGCAGTACGTTATGGTGACACATCTTCTTATTCATTTAGGAGAATAATAAAATTGAATTAATCGATTAGTACATTTTATTTCTAATTAACTCAACACCCATAATGTCCTGGTTTTCGGTTATTTGTGTGATTTTGCCCCCTCCTTCACTGCAAATAACCTCGAACTTCGCGAAAAATGTTTGTCTCGTATTATATGGATTGCAAGATTTTCCTTTCGTCGTTTAAATGTTGCTACTTTTCACGTACTCTGCAGTTTTCAATAAAAGAGCCAAGAAAGGGATTCAAATTTCATGAATTCACACATTTCGCTAGAATAATCGAAAATGTTAATCAAACATTTAATTTATTTACTTGTACTCGTTTTACGTTCAGGTATCGAGAGTAAATTCAAATGGCATGAAGAGGAATATTTCACGACAAAGCAACCCAACTTCTTGATAAACGATCTTTACTTCTTTTCCACCAGGATTATTTCTAATGTAGTCTTCATATACCGATCAATATCTCAAGAAACACGGAAAGGATATTTCAAATTTTGGTCAGTTTGCTCAACAAGACAAGCAAAATATATTTTGAGGGAATATGGGATTTATCTTGAAATGTTATGTTAAAACGCTATAAAAAACGTAGGAATATTATTCATCGCCTTTGGGATATTGTCTCAACGGCTTATCGGAAAACACACGCCGGTTCCACAAGGGTGTTGAAAGAGCTCTGCTTGTTCTGGAACCGCGTGCACGAAGTCGTATAATGGTTAACGTTCCGAGAACCACCAGCCTTCATGTCCTCTCGTCAGGCAGCGATGGGAAACTTCAAGTGGCTACTGTGTTTTTGTGGCGGGCTGCCGAGTGTTAAGTCACGGGTGTCCAGTCTCATTTTGCTTCTAGTTAGCGCACGTCATCGCAGGAGATACAGGAAAGTCAATCATGCGCGCATGAGGAGTTATGAAAGAGTTAGCCTATTTTTATTTTCGTCAGGGTAATTTCCTCTAAATAAACTACCAATAAATAGAATTTCCATGTGTTTTTCATTGGGTCCAAGAAACAGAATACAACGAAATATTTTTACAGACACCAGTTTTAAAGAAAGTATTATTAAATTGATATAAATTTCATCATCCAGGTAATTATACATCAAACATGCCCTAAAAGTTAATTCAAGTTGAATGTCGATTCTAAGACAATTAACCCTAATTCATCTAAATTAGAATATCTTCAAAGCACGTTAGTAATTTCGTAGGTTTGGAAATTTTAGGAAACTGAATTTAATTTAGAGCCTAAGAAACACAGCCGCAAAGCAAGTATTTTTTATTCTACCATTTTGCTTGTATGTCGGTACAATTTTTAAGAAAATTAGAAAGATTTTTAATTTGCGAAACAGAAAAAATCTTTGAATTTCTAAGCATTGTTAAAAATCAAACGCAGCTCCGAAACCGCCGTGCTCGCCAATAGAGCTATTTCCCGGCTGGCGTGACTGCAGCGCGGCGTCGCTGCCGCCGCCGCCGCCCGCCGCTCAGAGGTCGCCTCCTGTGGACAGCGCGGCTGCGGCCGGCAGCCACGCCCTCCTGTCACTGCGCGCAAACGAAATCACGCGCGGAGGGTCGATCGCCGGCCCCGCAAGAAGCGGCCACTCGGTAATTGCCAGCCTAATGACAGCGCGGCGCAACGCGTGCCACCGCGCCGTTTCTACCCCGCGCTCCGCCCCGCCCCGCTCCGCCGCAGCCGTTCGCTGTTTTTGCGACGCGCGCGCCGTTCTGTCGGGACACCGTGTCATACACGCGGGGGCGGGGCGGACCCGAAGGGTGGGACGAACGCGTCGCCCCGGCGATGACTGTCACCGTTGCTTCGGGGCGGCGATCTTTCGCTGGAGGCGCTGCGCTCTTGGCGTTTGCCTTCAGACACAACGTAACTCCCATTCTCTGCTCTTGTGCAATAGAAGATATCCTTTCTCTGTTTTAATTAAACGTCTTTGCGTTTGTTTAATTAACGGTGCGTTTCTAGGATGGAAATGGATGGCAATTATTTATATTCTTATAAAGTAATGATGATTACTAATGGGACCTTTACATGGCATCCTAGAGTGGAAAATATTGTTCTTATAAAATAAAAGTATGAAAAGTTCAAAATAATTTCCAAAATGTAGTAATGTTACATTTGGAAATGTGACATTTCACTTCCTGCCCTAGTATCCTATAATAATCAAAATGTATAATTTACTGTAATCAAGACCTTACTCCTTTTGAACTTTTGGGGTGTTTAGGCTAGTTACTCTCTTTCACCTAACACTTCTAATTAACTTCATTATTAGAGTTGACCTACTTGTAATGTTTTGTTTACCAAGCTTACGTAAACGTTTTTGCATGACTCTCTCTATCAACATTGAAAAATAACCTACTAATAATTTAGTTGCAGTGAAGAGATAAAAATAACAATGCAAACACATTTCAAATCAACCGGTTTTTGTCATTCAGCTGGTTCGAGACGGATTTAGTGTTAACAGTGTTAAAATGTTATGACGTACGATACCTGTAAAATTGTTCAAGGCCGAAGTAATGAACAATTTATG